CCCCCAACATCCAAGGAAAAGGGCGGGGGGAATGAGGGAGAAGGCACTTTCCTGAAATCATGGCAGATAGCAGAGGAGCTATTGCTTCCTTTGCTATCTGCTGGAGTTTTTTTTTATTCTGACTGCCATCAGAATAAAAAAAGCAAAAAAACAACGGACATCATGGAAATGAATAGCTAGACTGCTATTGGCTATTTCAATTTGCAAAAGCCAATAGCAGGCTGGCTATGGCACCCACGCACTGCTGCTGCCAATCCGCAGAGGAGGACCTGATGGAGAACTTCAGGTCCACTGCTGCTGATTGACAGCAGCAGTTTGCAGGTGTAATAGCCAGCCTGCTATTGGCTATTGCAAATTGAAATAGCCAATAGCAGTCTAGCTATTTTTTCCCATGCTGTTTTTGTTAGTTTTTTTACTCTGCTGGCGGCCCCAATGTAAAAAAAAAACAGCAGGGAAAGGTTTACTCTGCTAGATAGAGCACAGTAAACATTTCCGGGATAAAATGTTTCTCTCCCGGGCGTCAGGGAGCCGCTATCTTATAGCAGGAGACTGCCGGAGCATCCAGGAGAGTTTGAGATGTCTGCAATGGTTATTGTTGACAATCCATTATAAGCTCACCTTTCATGTGGTGAGCATTAGTCTATTTGCTGGCCGTCTCTTTCAACACTTTCTTGGCCCCCTGCATGTGGTTTAATTTCAATTTCTAAGGACTACATAACACAATTTACATTGCAGCCAGCAAGTAGTGATGATGTCACATGTGGGGCATTCCGTGTACTGTTTGTGCCTTTTAATAGTCCTCCTCTTCAGCACCTCTGTAGAAAGCAGGCTTTGTGTCACTGGACTAAAGGATTCTTCTAAAAGTACAAATACAAACTTCAAGATGGTTCTGATTAAGGGCTAGTTCACACCATCTTCACCATCAGGCCGGAACACACTCGATCGCATTCCAGCTGGCTCACTTTGTTTTGTGGCGTGAGGGAGCGTGGCGGTCCATTGAACTCAATGGCACCGCAGCCATGCCCTCCAGCTGCACGTGAGTGTGTGGCACATTAGTGCCTGCGTTCCCATCCGGTGCAGTCAGAAAAACTAGTGCATGTACTATTTTTTCTGACTTCACCGGACCAGGAAGCAGGCAGTAATGTGCCACGCATTCCCGTGCAGCCAATCGCATTGCGGCCGGAGGGCGTGGCTGCAGTACCATTGAGTTCAATGGACCGCCATGCCCTCTCCCGCCCCAAAACAAAGTGAGCCGGCCGGAATGCGATCTAGTGCGTTCCAGCCATCATCGGGCCGTAACGCACTGAGGATGGTATGAACTAGCCCTAATAGAAGTAGGCTACAACTAATGGACATTGAATGTAGGAATGAATATATGATTTTGCATTTTGACCATAGATACACTTTAGCAGGTAGACTGTGTAAATCTAATTGCAACATTTAGCATTGACTGTACTGCGTTTTCCATTTGTAGCCTTCATTATATTTCAAAGGAATTTTCTCAGAATTTATATGCTTTTATAACTTTCATTGATTTCTTATGTACCAGAGGCTTGTGTGGCTTAAAGTGAGTTAAATTACATTTCTTCTTAATTGTCTACAGTTTAATTGTTCCTAATTGCCTGCAATTTTCTTTGAAGTTATCCATCCCAAGACAAGTGATTCTCTTTGCTCCTGCCAGTGCTTAACATTCGGCATTACAGGCTTCTCTAAATCAAAAGTTCACATCACTGTCTCAGTTTTTATTCTTCCACTTGCAAAATCTCTCCAGGTAACATTTGCAGCTCTTTATTTTTTTTTTTCTGCAGGAGGCTTTACAGTATACATGTGACAGTTATGCAACTAATAACAGACTCTACTATTTTAAAAATAATTATACTTCATTTACACAGTTTTCTTTGGAAAGCACTGACAAATTGCAGGATGCTCCACAACGATTAAATGCAGCAGTTTTCCTCTTCATTAAATCTCTTTTCCTCCTCACAAGAGAAAAATGGCTGCTATGCAAGAAGATAGCAAATAAATGCATTAAAGGGAATGTATAGTCTTTTCAATGTTTTTTAGAGTTACAAGTAAAAGAGATCAGACTGACATAAAAATTATTTTCAATGTCTGTTAACATTTTAAAGCATGAGTTCACTTTCATGTAAAGTGCACATATTCTTCCTGCCTAGGCCCTCTGAGGTCAAGTAACTCACCCTCCCTCATGCCTCACCATACTCATCTGTTAATGGTCATAGACCTCTATGGGTCCATCTATGGTTGATCTATGGGGACTGACTGCCTAGGAATGCAGCCACGGTATGGGAAGATTGTGGAAGGCCGCAGCTGCGGTTTGCAGGTATGTATGCGCCTATGGGTGGGGGAGAGTGGGTTACTTTAGGTGGCAGGGACTAGGCAGGAAGGATAGTGTACTCTATGTGAAAGCGCCCTTCAAGCCTATCTCCAAGCACACAAAAAATCTATCCTTGCAATAGGGCTACTCCTGCACTCCAAGAGGTAAGTGTGCATTTTTGTCTAGGGGCTGAAGTAAAGCCGATTGACTTACCTGATCCCTTCTCTTGCCAGCTCCCTCCAGGCTGCTAGACTGGTCCCCACAGCCTCTTCTCCCTTTCACTCTGGCGGTGTAAGGACCACTGACAGCAACACGTCTAATGCAGGTTCCATATATCTGCATTAGATGTGAGGACACCAAGGGATATTCCACCAGCTGGAGCAGAGGGGACTTTACTCCAGCTCCTAGACAAAAACAGTACTTAAAGGAGAATTATGCGGTGAGTGAAAAAAACTCATCCCCATAATTAAAGCCGACCTGTGACACTGAAGCTATCACAGGTCGGCTCTACTGATCGGGAAGTCAGTGAACACTCACTGCTGATCGTTGACTCTGCGATCCTCTCCCTGCAGAGAGCGGTGACTATCAGTCACCGCTCCCCGCAGGGATCCCCTCCTCCCCTCTCCATTTCTCCAGCGCTGACTAGAGGGACGGGCAGGGGGCGGGCACAGCTTGCTCTGCCTCTAGATAGACAGAGCCCGCTGTCAATCAGCCAGTGGGATGGTTCTCAACAGTCTTGTCAGGATCTGTTCCGGCTGCGCTTTGCGGGCAATTTGGGTCACCGCAGGACATGGTATGTGTCCTTCCGTGACCCTGAGGAGAACTATGGGCAAAAAAGGTTGTTCCATAGTTCTCCTTTAACCCTTGCATTAGCTTCACTGCAAGGGTAACTTTTTGGCTTGCCTGGAGATGAGCTTTAATCTTAAACCTCTTGAGTCCCTGAACCTTTTTCTCCCTAAATTCCCTTTACAGCAATGTCTTTGTTTTGGAGAGAACTCTTTTGTGCGCCTTATACCTTTGGCAAACACATGAACTAGCGATGTTCGAGTCGAACTCACGTTCAACTCGAACATGCAGCCCATCCCTAATCAGGACCGATGACAGAAAGCGATGAGGAGGGGCCCTGCACTGCCCTCTGGGTATTTATCG